CCTGCCTACACTTCCCAGTTTGGGTGAAAGGACTGAGGGGGACAGGAGTGTCCCCCCCCACCTCCCACAAGCAGTCAGCCCCCCTGGAGGTGCTCAGAGCTGGCACTGCCACCCCTGTGCAGAGGAGCCACAGCACGGCCGGGGGTGGCAGGAAACGTGCCAGGCTCACAGGGAGGGACTGTACCTCCCCCACACCTCTCCTTCTTGCCCTCCAGTGTGGGACCCTGGGGACGCTCCCCATCCCTGCCCATCCCCATCTTTGCCACCATCCCCATCCCTGCCACCAGGGGCTTGCCTTGTCCCTAGGACAGGTGCAGGCACAACAGGAGTCATGGTGTGGGGAGACAATGGGCATCCCTTGGGGTGCAGGGAAGTGTCCAGGGGCCAGGCAAAGGGACGGCTGGCATAGGCAGCACTGGGCAAAGAAAGCTGGCGAGCAGACAGGGCAAGTTGTCCTTGTCCCTGTGGTCATTCCCAGAGAGCCCTGCCTTGCAGGGACCTGCCTCCACCACCCCCAAAGGTGGGAGACACTGTTCCCCCCTTTCCCTGTGAGTACCAAACCCCCGTCCAGGCCCTCCCTGCTGTGCACAGCCCTGGGTCAGGATGGATCCCTCGGTGCCACCGTGGCAGTTCACCCCGGGCTCTCGAGCTCCCTGTGCCAGGGCTGCCCAGAGCTCCTGCGAGAGCCGCCTTTCCCGCTCTTTGCTGTGCCTGGATAAGGAGAGCATGTCCGGCTGGGCTGGCCCTCGCCACGGCTCCTCTGCCACCGAGCCTTGCCACGCCAGCACTGCCCCGGCCACCCCGGCCATGCCGCAGCCACCCCTGCAACGGGGGGGAAACCGCCAGGTCAAAACAGGATCAGGCTACAGCTCCCAGCACCCACCCCCAGCCCACCCAGGCTCAGGGGAATAGAAAAGCACCAAAGGGAGCTATTCCCAGTTGCTCCAAGAGCTCCGGGCAGCACGCTGGGCCCTGGCAGCTGGGCTTTGTTCAGCAAAGCTGCAAAGGCGCGCACGCGCCCGCAGCGCCGGGCACGCGGCGGGATCGCTCCCTGCCCCGGCACGGAGCGAACCACGGGCATGAGGGACCTCAACCACAGTCAGGGAGGGAACCGTGGGCAGGGCAGAGCTGCCCAGGAAGGGGAGGAATCGGCGGGCACCTCAGAGAAGGGCGGCTGATTTACTGCGCGAGGCCCCAGCCAAGTTCAAGGTGATGTGGGGGAGAGCAGCCCAGCGTGAGCGCCGGCCACCAGCCCCTCGTGCAGCTGGGCTTATCCCACCCGCCCCCCCATTCCAGCCCTCCGATCCGGCCTCGTAAACCTCACTGTAAACAGGATCTGTTTTTCCTGGGCGAGGATTTAAGACGGGATCAGGCAGAAGCAGCGAGTGGCGGGGCAGGGCTCGCCGGGGCAGGCGGGCACGGCGGGCGCCGCGGGGAAAGCGAGGATCTCCCGAAGGTTGCGTTTAAAGAACGGCCTCATTGTTTTTCCCAAACAATACTCAGCAGATGGGAGAATTGAAAGTGTGTTGCAACCTTCCCTCTCTTCCCCCGCCGTGCCCGGCTTGCTGCTCCCATCCTTTGGCAGCCGATCTGAGCTCCCGGCTGGAAACCAGTTCGCCAGAGCTACTGGTGCAGGGGGTGAACACCGGCACTGAAAAGCCCCAGCAATTCTGGGAAGGGGTTTTGCCAAAGGATGCCCGATGAGGTGTACCCAGCGGGCAGCTCCCTGCTCCAGCCACATGCCCACAGCAGAGGTGGCAGCCAGGTGATGTGGGGAGCCCGGCAGTGGCTGGGGAGAGGTGGGATCCCCTTGGATCCCTGGAGATGTGGCTGTGACCACGCCACGTGGCCACAATGCCTCTGGCAGCCCAGCTCTGTCCCCTGGGCCCAACGCTGTGCCCGTTTGCTGGTACGGAGGTCTGTGCCAGGCCAGCTTAGCTTGGATTGGGATTGGGAGCCACTGAGGGGTGGCTCCCAATAACACACATGGGGGTCTGCGCCTGGCTGCCAGCTCTCGGTTGGGTGCATCACCTCTGCCATCCCAAAATCAGCCTCTGCACCCCCTGCATGGGATCTGGGAGAGGGGAGAGGGTCTCTGGCCAGACCCCAGCAGGATGCACAGCTCCCGCCATTCCATCTGCCTCGGAGGCTGGTGCCCATCTCACCTCGTTCCCATCCTGTGGGTACCAGGGTGGGGGTCTCAAGGCACACTGTGGGTGCCAGGCACGAGCCAGGGGTTTGTAAGAGCATCACCAGTCACAAAATTTGCACATTTCCCCCTCTACAAGAGCATCCCAAATCTCCCACTGTTGCAGATCCAGGAGGCAGGGATAACTGTTACGACTCTGGAAATCCCTTGGGCTCCTCAGCAGCAGCTCCCTGGGGACACACGTGCGGGTCCCTGGCAGGTGCTCAGCTCCAGGGTTATTTTGGAGCCCTGGCAGCCGGACTCCCCCCCCTGCTTCCCCGTGGGCAGGGTGAGGCCTCGTGCGTGGCGGCGGTTCCGGTGCTGCTTCCCTGCTAATCCAGGCAGCTCCCTCTTGACTTCCCGGCCTGTCCCTGAGGGGGGATAGAGGTGAGCCGGGGAAGTGAGAGGAAGTGTCCTAGCAGAGACACTGAGCCGGGGAGGGCACAAAGCCACCCTCTTGCCTGCCGGGAGACTCAGCCGAGGCTGCAGCCAGGAGCGTGTCACGGGCGATGCCTTGGCCAGGGCTATTTCGGTGCCACCGGGCTCTCCAGCTTGGACCTGCTCCGGCTGGGCAGGACGGCTGCCTAAGGGGACGCCGGGGTCCCTGCGGCCGTGCTGGGCCCAAGGGGCCGGCGGTGGTGGCGGTGGGGAGATGCACAAAGGCTAAGGCAGGGCGGCTCCCGCTCACGTTCCAATGTATCCACATCACCATCCGCAGCTCCCGAGCCCGGGCGAGCCTGCCCGCCACGCGGGTGGGATGGGAATGGGAACGGGAACGGGAATGGCTGGGCTGGCACTGGGGGACGAGGTCTGGTCCCATCTGAGCCGGGCTGGGAGCTGAGGCTATGCCAGGGCAAGAGGGAGGACATCGGAGCCTTCCCCGTGCCAAGGCAGCGGAGCAGAGGATCCATGGAGGATAAACCAGCTCCCTGCCGTCGGCCGGGAGAAGCGCTGGGAACAGCACAGGTTTGTGAGGAGAAGGGCTCCTGCCAGTCCCAGCCAGGCCAGCAACCACACAGCTTCCCACATCACACCAGCACTGTGAGCTGGCAACAACAGGCACTGCCAACCCAGCACCAGCTGGAGACTAGGAAGGGTGGATGGAGTCAAGGTGGGAGTGGAGGGATGGAAAGGGAAAGAAAGAAAAAAAGAATGAAAAAGAAAAAAAGAATAAAGGATAAAAAAGAAAAAGAAAGAAGGAAAAAAAAAACAAGAAAGAAAGAAGAAAAAAAAAAAGAAAGGAAAAAAATTAAAAATGGAAAGAAAAAGGGAAAAAAAGAAAGAAAATAAAAAGAAAAAATTAAAAGAGGAAAAGAAAAAGAGAAAAGGAAATAAAAAGAAAAAGAAAAAATAGAAAGAAAAAAAGAAAGAAAGAGAGACGAAAAAAAGCCAGATTGAGGTGTGACCCTCGTCAAGTCAACCACACAACAGGGAGCACCATCCTCAGGGTCATCTGAGCAGCCCCAGCGCTGCCCACCCATGTCCCTGCCTGTGCCCCCACCAGCCTCACGCTGCACGCGGGGAGAGCCAAGGCCAGGCCCCCACACTGCCCCCCACACCACACAGGTGCCACGAGGGGACCCCCACAAACCCCCACAGGCAGCTGAGCCCAAGCCTCCGAGGTGGAGCCAGAGCCCGCCTGCAGCTCCAGCCCAAGGGATGAGGTCTGGCAGGAGAACCCTGGGCACAGGCAGGGAGGTCCCACAGCAGCACACCCCCCGGAGCAGAGCCCTCGTGGGGTGCAGCACGAGGCCGGGCTCGGAGCGGGCAGCGGCTGCTGCCAGCAGGGAAGAGGTTACGAGCCGGGGAAAGCTGCTCAATAATTAAATAAATATCAGCGATCAATAAGCACAGAGCAAAGGCAGAGCCGCAGTGGTCGTGCTGTGGGCAAGGCGGGGGGGTCCCTGAATCTCCCCCCTGCGGCCACACCGGCTGTTGGGGGGAGATTTCGGGGCCGCCCCGCTCGCCTGCACCGTGGGCCCTGGCACGGCCGCCCTGCCGCGTGCCACCGGACCGTGCTGGCGTGGCCTGGGGTGACACCAGCGTCCCCACCACGGCTCAGGGCTGCCCCTCCACACCCCGACACGCAGGTGGGGACTGGCATCGCCCCCTCGCCTCCGAGGCTGAAGGGGTGCCCCCCATATCCTGTCATGCACGACCCCTCCTGCCCTCTCGCCCGCCGGCGCGGCGCGGACGGGTGCAAATTGCCCCAAACTCAGAGGATTTGGAAGAAAAAGCCTGTGCCCCCCCACCCCTTGCACCCCACCATGTGCAGTCAGGCTGGAGGGAGGGAAGGAAAAAGTTTCACGCTACGCAAGAGGCAGCACGGCCGAGGCCGAACCCGCAGTGCCAAGTCCCGCCCGAGCCGCCCCGAACCCACCGAGGACCCCCCGCACCCCACAATGCCCCCCCTGCACCCCCAGAGCCGGCGGCTTCCCCGCACCACCCACCTCTGAGCACGGCAAACAAAAAATAAAACCCAAACCACAACGCAACCTTCCAACCCCCCCCCACGCCCCAAGTGAAAGTGAAGGCTGAAAAACCCCCAAAAGCACCAGAAACACCCAAAAAAAAACCCTACAAAAGGCGATGGGGGAGGGGGGGGTGGGCAAGAGGGAAACGCAGCTCCTCTGAGCAGCCCTGCACGGCCCCAGCCCGCCTTTCCCTGTTATGATTATTTTTATGGGGGGGGTTGTTGCTTTTTCTTGCTTTTTCTTATTTTTTTCTAATTTTTTTTGCATTGCAACTGTAAAGTCCGTTGCGGCGAAAGAGGCAAATTTGGGGGGGGGGGACGCGGGGGGGTCCCGGTTACCTGGGTCAGGCAGAGAGGAGACGAATACATCCCGAGCCGTGCTGGGAAAGTGCCTAATTGCAGGGCTGAGACTCGAGGCGTAAAAGTTACTGAGTCATTTCGGAGGCTGGAGCAGTCCGGGCGTTTTTTCTCTCTCTCTCCTCCGGAGCGGCTCTGCGGGGCCCGGGGGGGGGCAGCCGGGCAGGGGGGGGCGGCCCCGCGGGAGGGGGGGCCGAGGAGGAAATAAAAAGATTCCAACTTCCACCCCCCGCAAAAAAAAAAAAAAAAATTAAAAAAATTAAAAATAAAAAGCGAAATCCCCCCCCTTTAAAAAAATAAAGCGCTTTTTTGTTGTTGTTGTTGTTTGTTTGGG